CGGTGGAGTGACAGAGATGGGAGGTCGGGCCGGTCAATGAGCATCGCTCGATCAATAACTGCTATTGAATGACGGGGGGCGGCGCCGGGGTCGGGCATTATTGAGGTTTTTGTGACAAGTTTATGTTTCTCTTTTTTGTTGTTCTCTATAATTACGCTCTCGGACTTCCGAGTTTTCGTTGATGATTTGTTGGTTAACCTCATTATTGAACATCTTTGCCTTCTTTCATGGTTCATGCATGTTGTTGTTTTTTTCCCTTCTGCAGAGTGAAATTTCTATCCAGTCTCTCAGGTAACAGGACTTGCCTTTTTCCCTATCCTCTCCAAACCTTTTGCACAGTGATATCACGCAATGCACGGTAGTGTCAGTACGAGTAAGACACCTAGTAAACATGGAAATGTACAATCAATGAAACTTAGAGCCCTGTTGCCTGTGAGTCTGGGTAAAAATGTGATTCAAAGTAAAAGAATAAATTTGAACAATGTTAACACGTTAAGCCTTGACTTTCGAGTTCATTTTCTCCTTTCTTCTTTTTCAGGTGCTTGACGTCTCACAGAACCCCAGACAGGTAGGCAGCTTGGCTCTAATTTTATTTTGAAACGATACATAAACTATACAATGTAGTTAGGTGCTCGTACTGTAGTTCCGTAAAAAAATAAAATTTTAAAATACCTTAAATTAAATGTAGAGTTTTTAAATTTTACTCTTTTGCGGAGAGTAGCTTATTATTTTTCTTTCCTCGGAGCACGCGGGAATGTGACAAAAATATCGATGGTGTGCCTGCCCAGAATGATTCCCTTGTTGTGAAGTTCCTTTCGCCTGCGGCCAGCCTCATGGGCTGAGGCAACAGGAAGGAGGGGGAGGGGGTGGGAGGGAGCCTCGCGACTGGCACCGGTGCGTAGCGGGCGCAGCGCAGCTCAGCGTCTCTGACCCCTCACGCCCGCGGCCATTCGCGCATTTCTTTATTTTTCTTGAAAAAATTGGTGCTCATCGACGCTCTTTTCTCCCCCTGCCCATATCTCCGTTTGTCGGAGTTCCTGCGCCAATTCCCTCAACCTCCAACTCTTTCCCTCTCATAGAATTTAAATCTAATTTATATTGAACTATCCGGTGAAACGTTAAAGTTATTACCATACTCCTGCTGCTCGACGTTGTAACGACGTCGTAGTGAGTAGTGTGACCGCGAGCGTTCCCCTCACCATGACCATAAGATTTGAAATGTCGTGCACACCTTTGAGGGCCCCCTCCCGTGTTGTGTTTCAGCAGTCGGCCGGGCAGACCGCCGAAGAGGGTGCCGATGGGCCTGAGCCTGCCCGCCTCTCTGCAGGGCCACCCCCAGCTCAAGAAGCACCGACTGGAGAACGGCGACTTCGCCTCTTTCGAGAACGGACCCATCGGAGGTGAGTTTTGTTTCGCCCGCGGCGACCATGCCTATGCTCTTCTACTTCCAATACTTCTTCTCGTAAAGTCATACTGCTATCCCGTTTCCGGAGGGGTGGCCGCGGCAAGGTGCCGCCGTCACCGGCTCGGTAGCCAAAAAGGAAGGGCGTCATAAATTATTTGTGCCCTGATGGGGGTCTCTGTCCGGGCAGCTGTTTGTTTCGCTGATGAATGCGCGCGCGCCGTTCAATAATTATGTCCGTCGTATTAATTCCCGAAAACGGTAACAATAATAGTATAGTGCGGTGGGGATTCGTACCTCGGCGTGCCGGCCGCCTTTGTCGTGTGGAGTCTCGATTAATAACCCGAACCCCCTTCCGATACACAACAACAACACACACTCACGGCACACTATTATAGGTTAGGCGGCCCCGTGTGTCTATGGGCATTCAAATAAAGCCGGCGCGCGACCAACCTTGGCGACCTGGCGCGCCGCTAGAGTATCGGAAACAAGGGCGTCCCCCGAGCGGACAAAAGCGATCCATGGCGACGGTACCGAGAGAAAACAAACACACACCCACACACACACACGCAGGCACGCACACAACCACACACTATCTGGAACACACAAGGAAGGCGGTGGATTAACGATCGGCCATTTGTCGGTCGGTCCGCTAAGCAGCAATAGGAGAGCAGGCGGTGAGGGGTGGCGGCTTGGCGTGGCGTGGTCGGCCCGCTCGGATATCGGCCCTGCTTCCTCTCCGAGTGGTGTGAAATAATAGGGGATGTGTAGTTAGTGCGAGGTGCCTACTGGAATGCACTGCAACCCCCCACGCGCCTGACCACACGGCTGACCGCACCACGGGGGCGGCCCGGGCGGCCCGGGGGCGGCTGTGGCCCTGCCACCGCAAAGTGGCCGGTGAGGAGGGGAAAGGAGGGGGGTGGGGGGTCCAGCAGGCAACGCATAGATCGCGCACGGCAAGGCCCTTGCTGTCGCCTCTGCCTGCTGATGGGTCCATACGATACGGTATATTTTATTCTCACAATATTTTCCTCCGGAAAGAAACATTACCCCCGCGGTCAGGCTCCACGTACTGCCTCCGAGGGGTTCGGGGTCCGCGCCGGGTCCGCCACCACCCCGCCATATGTCAATACGGCCCCCGGCCTGCACCGCCACCACCGGAGAGATAACAATAATAAAGGACCGCTGCAATAATTTCACCGGCTGTTCGTTTGTTTAATTTTGATATTACTATTTTTTTGGTGTGCGTGTGTGTGTGGGTGTGCTCCCTCTTTACTGTACTATTCTGCCGCGCCCGGAGGGTTTGTGCAGTCATATCTTGCGCTCGCGATTTGAATCGGACGTTGGCGCGCGCGGGCGCGTGCCCTCGTGGCCTCGTTTCGGAGGGTGGGAGGGGAGGGGATGGGACTAGGGCAGGGGTCGTATCGACGCAGCATCTGTGTGATCTGCTGGGAGAAGGGAGGGGGTGTGGTCCGGGCAGCCATAAGGTGTTGTTGGGCCCCCCCTGTCTGACTAGTCTGACTTTGTCCTTGTGTCTAACGGTCGTGCTGTACGCCTTTGCCCCCACAGAGAACCGCATGGAGAAGTCCCCGCTGCTGTCCAACGGCTACAACGCGCCGCCCACACACCTCCACCCCATGCACCAGTTCTACCACCCCGGCCTGCCGCACCCCGGCTCCGTGCTCAAGGGCCAGTCCACCGCGCCCCTGGAGGCCATCGCCAGGTAAGCCCTTTCATTCCTTCCAACTGCTACTTCTCTTTCATGCCGACCACGACTGTCTCGCCGGCGATAGAAATCCGATTAAGGCCGCCCCGCATGTCTCTCTTTTTCTCCCCCTTTTTTATTATTTTTTTATTTCGGCTGCGCCCGCCGCCGGCAGCTCGCTCGCCAGCCAGCTGGGGACACAAATCTCGTTTCGCGGCTCAGATCTGTCATCTTCATATCGTCTGTCCCCGCTGTCCGCCGGGCGAGGATCCCCCAGCCAGCCGGTCGGCCGGCCGCCGTGTCCCGTGTTGACGGAGCGAAAAATAATAACTGCTCGATATTTTATTAATATTTTTCCGTTTCTTTTGCTTTTCCTTTTATTAGATCTGGCATCTGGGAGGATTGCAGAGCTGCCTACGAGGACATCGTCAAACACCTGGAAAGGTAAGAGCAGCAGACACACGACGCGCCGTCGGCGTGCTCCTTGCAATATGGATGAGGCACGTTTGTAAAAAAACAACAATTCCAAAAAAAACGCTCTGTCTGTATTCACCTCTTTCCGCTATGTCCCGTACCCTTTTCCACTCTGCGCCCCTCTCCCCGCAGCTAAATGGCCACGAAACAAGCGTCAAAACTCGCGTTACATTCGCGCCTGCCGCCGTCTCTCTCTCTCTTTCCCCGTCCCTCTCACTCGCTCGCTCACTCACTGTGGGGCGCCGTGTGAATGCAATGAAACCATGAAACCCCCGCACACCGTTAAAGCGCCCAGCCCGAGCCTTAGGTGGGGGAGGGAAAACAGAGCAAGCGTTTAAATATTAATGGACGCAAAAGTCATGGTGGCCGCCCGGGCTCTTCTGTATTCATACACTGGCGGAGTGGTGTCATCGGACAGACCAGAGATGTGTTTCAACCCTCTCATCACAAGACAACTCCCCCAACTCTCTCTCCCTCTCCCCTCCCACCCCCGCCACCCCACCGCGGCACCCCTTTCGGTGGGCGCGTGTGCGCCGCTCTCGGGATATCACGAGGATTACAAACATCACCTCCACTGAGAGAGATTTCTCGCTGTGCTGCGCACCGGCCCTTTTAAAGTCGGTTGGGGCGCAGATCAGAGGCATTTCCGAAATGTCCAGTCGTTCGAATTTGTTTTTGTACTCGTCTGTAATTCGCCCCCAAGTCGCGGCGCTGGCGCAGCGGAGAAGAACATTGAACACTTCTCCTCCCCCTTCTCCCTCCCTGCGCTGCGCGGCGGTGGCTGATCCGGGGAGTCGGCTCCCAGCGTCTCATCCGTCCATCCACACTGACGAGAGAGATGGGGCAGCGAGAGAGACAGAGGGCGCGAGACAGAGCGGGAGAGAGAGAGAGAGGGAGAGACACGCGTGGCAACCTTAGTTACCCATTAGCGGGGAGCCCCCTCTGCCATGCATATTACAAACCCTTCCACCCACCCACCCCGGGCGCGGCGCGACGCACCCCTTCCCCCTTTCATAATCAAAGAACAGAAATGCATTCGAAAAGATGCTGAATTATGCACGTGGCCCGCTATAGCCTCTGCCCATTGCAGTCGCCGATGTTGTTGTTGTTTGTCTGTCCGTTTGCGTGCGTCGGTGAGCCTCCTGCTCTCGATATGAAGCTGGCGTCTCCCTCCCTCTCGCGCTATGGTAGTTTCTCCCACCGCAGAGGGGGCGCCACTGCCGCTGTGAGTCAGTGTGCCAGCAGCAGCGGTGCTAACGGTGAGGCCGGCTCCGTAAAATGACATTTGATGACTTCCTCGCCTGGAGATTATACGGCGCGGAAAGTCATCATCACGCGGCACGGAAGGAGCGGCGGCGGGCATAGAGCGGAGCTCGCGCAGTGAATGCAAAGCGCGCCGGCGATAACATCGGAAGTGAGGTTAGGACGGCAAAGCGGACACAGACGAGAGGGCGGAGCGGGCCTGCAAGACAGGTTAGGTTATGGCGCGTTCAAACGAGAGGGCTGAGTCAATTAGTTCTTTTTCGTCCGCGTCATTATAGACACAAACATTATGTGTCGTGCGCCCTGGCGGGGCGGTGGCTGCGTAGGCCCTGTGCTGCGCGTGGCAAACGAAAGACGACGCTGCAAATAATACGTCAGGATCATGCGGGTGTCACGGGGCGGGCCCGGACCACGCGGCGGCGAGGGCTTTAACCCCTTCATCCCCCACCCCCGCCTGCTGTAGATGTGCGGCAGCGAGCAGCAGCAAGCCCCCTCGCAGCGAATCAACGGATGTCGCTTTGGCCTGTCACATCGGGCGGACTCGGCTGTGCTAAATGACGTGTTATTCGCGCCATTAGTGTTGGGAGGAGAGGGGAAAGAGAAGAGGGGGGGGGAGCATTCCATCAAATACCACCCGGTCAAACTTGGGTCGAATTAGACACCCCGTCGCGCGCCGGATATGAATGAACACACCCGCGAGTCGATTAAACAAACGCAGATAATAATAATAATAGTTATAATAATGGTGATAATAATAGTAATAATAATAGTAACGTCAACTGAGCGTGTGCATCGTAACTTACCAATTGCGTGTGTAATATACCTTATCGTCTTTTCTCATTGATGAATAGTGTTCATATATATACGGCGTGGAGGGGGATCGCGCGCGAAAGAGATGTAAAGTCTTTGCGCCCGAATATAATCGTCGACGAGTAGCTAACGTACCTCGTTAGGCGGACGTGTTGATGACGTGGCTCGGCGGCGCGGGGCGGCGCGGGGCGGGGCGCCGTGCGGTACCCCGGGCAGCAAGCGCGGGCGCCCCGCCGCGGGTAGGATCCCTCTGTGGGAGCCCCCGGGGGCCCCCGCGGGGCCGGTCCAGGCGTGGCGTGGGGCGCTTAGCATTCAACTACCGTGTCTTTGTAGCAGTCTCATTTCCCCCGTTTCTTTTCTCTCCTTCCCTTCTTTTCCCCCGCTCCTTCTGCCGGGGCTCATTACCGGATACGGGGCCGGGCGCCCAGCTGGGATGTTGTGGGGCGGCCGCCGCTTGCGTGACTCGCGGACCAGGAGGAGCCCCCCCGCCGGCGAGAGAGGTGCCTCTCTATGTGCAAGCGGCCTAGCAGTTTTGACACCGGCCGAGGCTCATCATTTCAGATCAGATCTCACGCGAATATATTAGCAGCCAATAAACGGGCTAAGCTGGTTATCCCACACTGACGACGGCCCGGTATGGTGACCCCGTGTGTACGCCCTGCTCCGCGCGCGATCCGAAGCGGGGCTGAAATCTAAAGAGAAACAAGAAAATTAAGAGAGGATAAAAAAAAGGGCTGGCGCGAACGCTCTTCATTTCGTGAGTGTGGGTATGCTAAATCGTGTACCGTTGGCTTATCCCGGGCAGGATCACCGCCTCTCCGGGAGCGTGGGGGCCGCAGCATGGCCCCCGCGTGTCCCTGCGGCCCCCGATAGCGAGAAAATTAAAAATAATTAAAAGTGACATTTACAGGGAAAAACGTCTCTGCTGGCTAATAGAGTCCTAAAGCACACTGCGCTCCGCCCGCCCGCTCCGATACCGCGTCCGCAGAGGCTGCAGATTTTCTCTCCCATTGTCTTCCCGCCTCGAATCTGCATCGATCGTCTCATCACTTTCGGACGCGCCCCGCGCCGCCGGACGTCGCCGCGCATCTCAATTGCATTTAATTACACATCGGCGATGACGTTTACATCTTTTGAAAACGTCCGGATTGCGCGGGGCGCCTTTCTCTCCGGCGCTATGGCCTGCTCATTGCCCCCTTCCTCCCCTCCCCTCTCCTCCTCCGCTTTGTCTCGCCTGATGATAGCCCGTGCGGTGGTGTCCGCATGTTAATAAGCAGAGTTGCACTCGACCGCCGTCCGCTGCCACTCTGCTACCGCTGCCGCCCCCCC